TTCTTAGACTATTAGTTCATTGACAGTGGAGCTTGTTTTGATTATACCCATATCGCCAGTGTCTTTATTATTTCCAGGCATATTACATGCTCAGTACAAGTTTGATAAATGCGTGAATGAAGCATGTCAAAATTATATATGTACATAAAGGACAGGAAGAAAATAGACAAAAGTGAAATTCATGATCACATAAGATTTTCAGATGTTCAGATGATTAAAAATGTTTAAATATTGTTTTTAAATAAAATTTTTATTTCTTAAAATAGCAGCATTGGGTATAGAGTACTTTTGAAGATTAAAAAAAACAGACAAACCAGTTCAACCCTCAGTTACTTGTTAAAGGGTGAACTCTTATTCTGAACACAGCAGACAGACAGGGCTGGCCACTTACTGTGTATTCAATAAATGTTGACTGAATAATTACAGATTTATCATCAGTTAGAAGAGGAATGAGAAACTATAAAGAATGGAATGTCTGCAGACCTATGGTTTACATCATTATTTAGCTGAAGTGTAAAGGAAATCAGTGAGGTGAAGGTGGTCAGGTGCACCACCCAGTTCTTTGGGGCCCCTGGTGGCTGGCTGGGTGGACATGCAGAGAATATTATATATAAGTTATAATATAAATCTCCACGTTCACCAAGGCGAAGAGTATTACTTCCCTTTCTGAGCTCCAGGTAGCTCCCCACTGCCCCTTCTTTGTTGCATCGTCTCCCTGTTCATGTTCATCTTCTTTGGGGGAGGGGGAATTAAAGTGGGGGGTGCTGGGAAAGAGGTCCAGCCCACAGTAATTTATTCTGCCAGGGGAATACTCTGATGGTAATCATCAAATTGTTTCTTGTCTGCAAAAGGTTAAGAACTGCAAGTATTTTTAAATGTCAGACAATATATAAAGCTTGTAGGAGGAGGGAAAGAAAATTTTCATCGGTCATGTGCCAGGTTCTGTGAAATGTGTTTTCACATTTACTTCATATAATATAAGTAATTATTATAACATCCTTGATTTTATCACCATTCAGCACTTGCCAGAGGCTAGATTTGAATTCAGATCCAATGGTCTACCATGTGACAAGTCAAGTTCTTTGCCTTTGGTGATGAAGTGTTGGTTCTGTCCTGGAAACATGGCACTTGGAAACGCTTTGTAGGTTGGAATGTACCATTCTTCACAGTTTCAAGAAACCTCAGCTGGGATAATGAGTACCTGTTGCTCATGTTACATGTTTGAGAACAGCGTATATTTCTGCCAACTGGTGTAGAAACATTTGAAGTCTGGAATTTTCACTTGCAACAAAAAATGGAAAATTAAAAATTAAGCCTAGCCTTTGTGGTGGTTACATGGGTGTTTTCAATTTGTGATAACTCACTGAGCTGTATGTGTATGATACTTGCATTTTACTATATGTACGTGAGACTTCTTTTTTCTAAAAGTTTGCTTTTTAAAAGACTGGCAAAAATAAATTATTGGAAGAAAAACAGGGTATGTTCTAAGTCTGCATAAGCTAAGCAAGCCACATGACCACATCCTGATTCTTTATCTGTGAAAAATAATGATAATAGAAAAAGTTGCCACTTTCTTCCAAGATATAAGTTTCTATATCTTCACTTGGTCACTACATGATTGAGTTTTTAATTCAGGGCTTTTTGCCTCTCCTCTCTATGGTAAGAAATTAAAGAAAATGTTTCTTTCATTCCTGTGTTTTAAACCAAATTTCTTGTGCTACTCACAGCCTGCCAGTAACTCCCACAATTCGACCTTTTTTTCTTTTGTGTAATCTCGCAGTGATTTACAAAAATCCAGTACCTTGCCTCTCTTCAGGTTTGACTGAGACAAATGAATCCATAAATGTTGTGGGACAACAGGAAAGAATGTTAAAAATATTTGTAGACTTTTTCATGAAAATTAGCATGGAGAAAGAAGTTATTTTAATTCCTTTCACAGAAGAATTATTGTTGCATTTGGATATAACCATCCAGACCTTAACCCAGTGTTTGCTTGGCTACCTGGAAAACAAGACAACATTGGTCAGATGGAAAACAGTGAGGGCACATTCATACTGACAGTAGGTCTTATAAAGAACATACCACGTTTAATTTAAAAAATAAATGGTAAACCTTTAAAAAGGTAATTTATTGAAAGTGTGGAGTTGGGACCAGCTCATGTGGTCATGTAGTCAGAGTTCTTAAATTCACCTTTAGAAGTACAGTCTTACCATATGTGTCAGTTAAATTATTTCTCTACATTACTTCAGACTTGAGCCTAATTTGATAGGCTCATTTCATTTCATTGTTTTCAACTTATTTTGAAAATTTTCAAATCTGCAGGAGAGTTAAAAAAATAGTACAATAAACACCAAATACCTCTCACGTAACTCCACCAATTATTAACTTTTATTTCTGTGCATGCTCTTTGTATACACATGTGTTTGCTAAATCAATGGAAATTGACTTGGTGATATCATCCCTAAGTACTTTAAGGTGTGTCTTTTTAGAAAAAGGAGAACTTCCTATATAACCAAATTACCATCACTATGCTCAAGTCGTTTTACATTAGGCCCTGGCTGAGTATCTCATCTGGTTAGAGAATCATCCAAATAAGGCAAAGTTGCAGGTTAAATTCCCTAGTCAGGGCACATACAAGAATCAACCAATGAATGTATAAATAAGTGGAACAACAAATTGATGTTTCTTTCTTTCCTCTTCCCTCCCTCCTTTCCCTCTCTTTCTAAAAATCAGTAATGAAGAAGAGAACTAAACTTTGACATTGATAAATAACAGCATCCAATGTCCTCAATTGTCATAATTTATTTAATCATTTTTTTTGGACAAAGAATCCAATCAAAGATCACACAGTGTATTTAGGAAACCTTGTATCTTTTAATTTAGAATATTCTTCCCCTGCTCCTTTTTTCTTTTCTCTTTTTTCTGTCTTTCATGACATAGCATACTGTTGTAGCATGTTCTACAATTTAGCTTTGTGCGATGGTTTTCTCAGGCTAGTTAAACATGTTTGTAGGAAAAACAAGTGCATGCGCATACACTGTGTGTTCCCGTTGTTTTCCCATATACGTGTTCTGTTTTCCCATTGCGGGGACTTCGCTCACACAGACCATCTTTCATTAACTCCCTTCCCTCACCACGCCTGTATGAAGCTCAGTTCGGTATTTAACCTTCCCTAGATAATTCCCCTAATGCCCTCCATCCTGAAATACTCTTTAAATATCCAGAATACTTTACTTTTTTTCTTACAGCATTTGTGATTTTTTTACTGTGTATTATTATTTTTGTTTATTCACACATTTTTTACCTTCTCTCCAATGTAAAGCCTGCTAAGGACTGGCCTAATTTATCTTTGACCTCCCTGAAATCTAGCAAATGTCATGTCACAAAGTGGGGGTATACATATATATATATATATATGTATGTATGAATGACCAGATGGATGAATAAATGAATGAAAATGTTATCTCTGGTTTCTGAGATACAGTGAGTAGGTTAAAAACTTAATTTTTAAAAAAATGCTTGAATAATTTCTTCATAAGGGAACTTTTCTGCACCCAGAACTGTCTACTTAATTTATTAAAAAATAAAATTTTAGTTTTAATAAAAATAAAATATGTATATTACATGCCTTGTTATAGCTATTTTTAAAATTAACTTGCTAAGTGTTGAGGGAAGCCTTTCAATGTGGACAGTTTATTCTTTTGCTTTGGAAAATAGTCTTCTATGTATATTTTTTGATAATTTCCTCATTTGCATATTTTGTGTTCCCTCTGGAATAAGTACTATAAGTCAGATGCTGAAACTTCTGGAGTGGATACTCTACATCTCTTATGTTTTCTTTAATATTTTCTACCTTCTACTTTCTAAAAGATTTAATTCCAACCTGTTATTGATCTTTATTCAGATTTTTTAAATCACATTTTTAATTTTCAAGAGTTCTGGCTGTGTTTTTTGAGTGGCCTTTTTAATAGCATCCATTTATTGTTTTATGGATGAAATATCTTTTTAAATCTCCATGGAAATATTAATTAAAACTTACTTTCTTCTGTTCTCTGCACTGCTTCTGTTTAAACTTTCTTAAAGTGTTCTCATTTCTACCTTGGTCTCTCCCTCATTTATGTTAAAGGCATTTTCTGTATTCAGCGTAGAAATGTCAGTGTGCGGAAAAGCTGACCGGGGCCTCCATGCCCCTGGGCAGAGTCGCCCGCTGCCGGGACGGCTGTCGGTTCATTGGATGTGGAGTTAGGCATTCTGACGTGTAAACTCCCAACTGCCAAAACTTGGAGGAATTTTTCTCTGACATCGTTCCATTTCTTTAGGAAAGAACACTTCCGTTTTGGGGCTGGGGAGTGACTTCTCATTGCCGACATGTTACTCAGCAGAGGGCTGGGAGTGTGTCTGTGTGTGCCGTCCCCATTCAGACTTTGTGGAGCCCCTCTGTTTCTCCCTCTTCCCTCCGTAGCCTGCGCATCAGCACCCCAAGCCCCCGCTTCATCCTGCTGCATCCGTGAGCACCGTCTTCCACCCCATCCCGCCTGTGAGAGTTTTGTTAAAATCTCTCACCCTTTGAGGAACTTTCCTGTTTTCTTCTTACGGGTTTACCCATGTTGGTTTTATGTATTGAATTATTATTATTATATTTTAATCCTCACCATAGGATATGTTTATTGATTTTAGAGAAAGAGGAAGAGGAGAGAGAGAGATCAATCAGTTGCCTCCCATATGTGCCCCCAGGAGGGATTAAACCCTCAACCTAGGTACTGTGTGACCTGACTGGGAATTGAACCGGTAACATTTTCGTGCACAGGACAACACTCCAACCTACTGAGCCACCCAGCCAGGGCTGTATGTTGTTTTTATTTCTTTACCATCAGTTGGTGGAATCTTGAAAAAAATTAGAGATCAATACATGGAAATATTTTTCAAGATATTGATTCCAAATAAATTACTCTGTCATCTTTAATCAGACTGTGCACTTAATTTTGTGTTTGTGTTCCCAGCTTCCTCCTGGGTAAATCTGGTCCTGTGCGTGGAGTAAGTTTTCTGCCCGGAAGGTTGAAGCAGTGACCCTCTGTGTGGTTCTGGGAGAAGGGTCAGACAGCTTGGCTGCTGTGATGCTTCCTGTTGAGTCATCTGGACAAGGGGAAAGTACTAGAGTTACCACAGAGGGAAGGGTGAGATAAACTCCCTCTGGATGATTTCAGAAGTCTGATTACTTAGTTACAACTGGGATAAGGTAAATGGTCGAATAACTAGAGAAGTTCTACAAGCCACTTGTAAAGTTAAGCTCTTATTCTGCTGCCGAACCATATTCCCACGGGTTTCCAAAACCTGGGAAACAAGCAGCCGCGGCATCTCCAGGGCAGGCCCCTTCTCCCCGAGAATTTCCCCCTTGAGCTTCTATGACATTGCCTGGTTACTCACCCTGCAGATTCCTCAGGATTGGCTGGGACTGCAAATAAAACACTGTTTATCCACAATCAAGCTGATAAGCTACAACATTAAGTACACACAGTGCCTCTTAGAATATAATATAAAGCACGTGCTCTCTTCTTCCCTCCTAACATTTTCATGCTGGAGAGGAAACCTGGAGAGCGACATTGACTCTGGACAACAATTTATTAAGGGGAAAAAAGCCTAAAATGGGTCTGTTGGGTTCTAAAAACCCTGAAGTCAAGCAAGCCCAAATTCTTCTTCTGGGACTTGACTCTGCTGGGAAGTCAACTCTCCTTTACAAACTCAAGCTTGCGGAGGACACTGTGACCCTCCCAACTGTTGGTTTCAACGTGGAGATGATCGAGCTGGACAAGAGGCTGCCACTCACGGTCTGGGATGTGGGAGGACAGAAGGAAATGAGAACCATGTGGAGCTGTTACTGTGAGCGCACCGATGGGCTGCTGTATGTGGTGGACAGTGCGGACAAACAGCGACTGCAAGACTCCCGGAGAGAGTTTGAGCGCATCTTGAAAAATGAACACATTAAACATGTGCCCGTTGTTCTATTAGCCAACAAACAGGATGTGCCTGGAGCGCTGACTGCCGAGGACATCACCAGAATGTTTAGGGTGAAGAAGCTCTGCTGCGACCGCAACTGGTACGTGCAGCCCTGCTGCGCCCTCACCGGGGAGGGGCTGGCGCAGGGGATCGGGAGACTCACCGAGTTCGTGAGAAGCCACAGGAAATCGAGAGCAGACACGTTAGCGTTCTTCAAGCAGAACTGAAGTCTGAGCAGTGAAAGACGAGGTTGAAAAGGTAATGTGTTTTCTGTGCCAGCTGAGAAAAGCAAGTTGCTGAGATGGCAAACTTTTCCTGAGGTGCTATTTCACCCAAATTAAGTTAAACTACTCAGAATAAAAGCTAAAAAATATTATTTTTGGCCAGGCACTTTAGCACTGTGGTAATAATAACTGGGAATGAAAAATGTACAATTTTGTGCACATTGGGTGGGTCTGAAAAATCATATTTAAGACCAAATAAATTATTGCTTTATTATTTTTTATATGACTACTAAGTAAACTGTCTGCTAAGAGAGTCAGAATTCTTTCAGATTGTTTTCAGCTGTTACAGGTATTAAATTTCCACCACACTCCTATATAATAGCTAGGTGATGTAAAAAAATAAACTTTAAATTATGGAGAGGAAAAGTTTGATGTTACCATCTAATAATAAATCTCAATCTACCCTCCACGCAAATTTTTTCTTCTGGATTCCTGCCAGCTTTTTGAAATCTGTTGCTGGGAACTTTATACAATGAATCAAACAGTGAACTCCATGTTGTTAATGGAAGAGAGGCTGTGTTCTCCCATAGGGAGCAGGAGTTTGTGTCTTGAAGCTCTGGGATCGGGGTAACACCTTAGAGTTTAGGGCGAGGCCTGAGGTTATAGCTCAGCGCGAGCGGCAGCCCCAAGAGCGGCTTCAGTATGATCTAGTGTAACAGTCATTACTTGGGAACTATGTGCAGCTCACTGTACTGATCAAACAGGAACCAGAGCCAGATGTTCCTCTCAGAGACCTTAAAATTCACAGCGGGCAATGACAGAAGGCTAATTGCTAGAACCGGGCTGTGAATGGGGAATGTGATATAACAGGAGAGACTCTATCTGACCTGGAAAAACAGGAAGTACTTCATGAGGGAAGTGGTATTCAGGAGGGTCCCCAACTCCTGGGGACCCCCCAAAGGTACAGGGTGGTCACTGGAAGTTCCCATCACTGGGAGGGTGCTGTAGGGGAGGGGAGGAAGAGGGAAGGAACTAGGGATTGAATTGGAACTCCCCTGAGAGGCTAGAACTCCCAAGGAGGCCCTAGTACTGACTCATCCTTCAGAAAGGCTGTCAGGCTAGAAGCAGGTCTCAGGCGTCCCCCAGCAGTCCCTGGCACTCCAACTCCTCGGGTCACAGAGGAAAATAAAGGTATAGTAGACAAGGGTGCCAGCCCCTGGATTCCTGTCACTGTTTCCTTCTCCCAGCCGTGACTTGTTCAGCAAAGATATGAGTAGCTACTTCTGTGCTACATGGTAGCAATTCAAATAAAAAGTAGACATCCACATAATAATAGTTACTGTTGATTGAATACTTGTGCGCCCCAGGCATGGTGCCAAACACTTTCGTACATCTTCTCATTTAATGTTCACAACTGCCCTGAGAGGCATAGGTGTTACCTCAGTTTTATACGTGAGAGAACCGAGCCTACACAAGGTCAGGCAACAGTAACACCCACAAGAAGAGATGGGCGTTTTACTGAGGAGTGGCAGAGCCAAGTTCAGATTGGTATGTGTGACCTCAAGGCCCGTGCTGTGAATTGCCATGATATTGCTTTATAAACTAGGTATGGACTCTGTCTTCAGTGTGCTTACAATACACAATTAAGAATAAACCCAGGCTAAATTAAAAATTGTACTACCCTGTTACCCAGCAATCCCACATTTGGGTATATATCCACAGAAAATTAAATTGCTATCTCAAGGAGGCCTCTCTACTCCCATGTTCAGTGCAGCATTATTTGCAGCCCAGGCATGGAAACAACCCAAGTGTCCGCTGATGGATGAACAGATAAAGAGTATGTGGTATGTATGCACAATGGAATATTATTCAGCCACAAAAAGGTGGAAATCCTGCCATTTGCAATGATACGGATAAAACTGGAAGGCATGATGCTAAGTGAAATAAGCCAGAGAGAAAGACAAATACCATATGATCTCACTTATAAGTAGAATCTAAAATGCCAAATTCAGAGAAACAGAGAGTAAATTGGTGGATGCCTGCTCCGGCCCGCGGAGCAATCAACTGGGGCTCGACCACCTACCTAGAACAAATGAGTTGGGGGGACAAGAGGCACGAAGAATGGCAGCAAGACAAAAGATTCTGATCAAGCTGCAAACTTTATTTTTCCGAACTGGGTATATATATATGGGGGGGAGGGAGAGATTAGGTTGCTTGCTATTGGCTAGCTTGAGACAAAGAAGGGCCCGCTTATTGATTACTTGGGTGCAACTGGCACTCGTGGACACCTCATGTGCCTGTAGCCGATTGGCTTGTGGAGCGCACAGGTTCCTGTAATCAATGCAGTGTTTTTAGCTAGAAGCCAGGTGTAAGGTTCCCAACAGATGCCAGGAGCTTGGAGGTGGGGGAAGCGAGGGGAGGTTGCTCAAAGTGCCCACACCTGCCATCAGATGGGTAAGCTCTGAGGACCTAAAGTACAGCATGGTGACCACAGTTAACAATGCTGTGTCGTACACTTGAAATTTGCTAGGAGAATATATTTTCAGCATTCGCACACAAAAAAGTAACAACGTGAGGAGATGTTAACTCAAGTCTAGGAATCCTTTTACAATGTATAGTAAATCAAGTTGTATACTTTAATATATTATTCTATATGCAATATAGAATATATTCTATGAATTATACTTCAATAAATCTGGGGGTGGGGAGGGTGAAGACTAAATCCAGGCCAACATATATTACTATTATAATAAGAAGTTTCTTTGAAAAAATAAGCCAGGCAGAATAAATCAAGTGTCGTAACAGAGATATAAGAAAAACACTGAAAGTCTGGCAAAAAGAGTTTCCGATTTCAGGAAGAGCTCAGGGGAGTGGCAATGTTAAACGCTTCATGGAAGAGTTTTCCCAAAGGTTCACAAAGTGATTAAAATCTCAAAAATACATCTTTTAAAAAAATGCACCATCCTTTAACATTTCCCTATGTGTTTTTTTAACTTAGTCTTAAAGTTAGGAGTCACTAATTGATGTCTATAGAAAATTTCTAAATATTGAACAGAAAATGTGTCCTCGTGTCCTGAGACTTTGAGTTGCAAAGTCAAGCCCTTTGTGGCCCAGTCTCAGCATACTATAAAATTCGGAGAAAACAGTCCCCCCCCCCAATACTGAAAGCAATGAAAACCTCCACTTCAGAAAGCTGCGGGGGGGTGGGTGGTGTAGGGATCAGATATACACTTGATGTGGCGCAAAACTTAGGAAGCAGCTCTTTCTATTTGTCAGGTCAACATCCTTCTCCACACACCGGCTGTCCCTCAAAATCTCTACTAGTGTTTGGTCAGAAACTTGAAGAGCCTCGTGGCTCTTTTCCTTTCTTCCCTGGGATCCAGTTTATTTTCTTCCCTCAGACCTTTGCTTTCTTTTCAATGTGAATTTTACCAATCTTTCCCTCCTGCTTTCCCTAGAACGTTCCCCACCAACACACACACACACACACACACACACACACTTGTACACTCTTCACTCTCATCTACTAAGAAAGCCCACAAGTGAGGGAAGGGACAAAGTTTAGGTGGACGTTAGCAAAAGGTCGCTTAGTAGGTGAGGAGAAAGAGGCTGTGCAGGTTCACGCTTTCATATGTATTATCGTCATACATTCTGTTCTCTGTTATTTATATGTAAGAAAGCAAAACTTTTATCAAAATGGCATACTGCCACGGATCTACAGTGACCAAAAGCAGAACACTTCTGAAATGTTCCTTGGTTAAAGATTTAGAGTCTAAAAGAAAATATCAGTTAAGTATTTCTACCTAATGTTCTAAGTATCCCCAGATGGGGGAAAAAATCCCTACAGGGATAAGAATAAAGACTGACAAATTAAAAAACAATAGCAGCAGTGGCTGACATATGTTAAAAATAATTGTCAGTTTGAAAAGCTGATGTTTGGATTTGATCTTTTGCCACAAGCAGGTTGCTGTCGCCATCGGAAGACTGTGTGAAAAATGCGACGGCAAGTGTGTGACCGGCGGCTCCTTGGCTGTGCCTCTGGGATGAGAGTAACTGTGGCTCCTACCAGGGGCGCCGTGTGATCGGTGGCAGCCCCGGGGTCTCCGAAGCCTATGACTGTAAGGAGCCCACCACTGAAATGGCTGCCCAAAGACTGCGAATCTGGGAGTCCTAAGGTCATTGGTGGGCGGCCTCTTCTTTCCATCTACCGACCACAGAAGGATGGAGCGCAGGGCCTCACCCACATTACCTGTTAGTACACAGGCACCTCTCCACCTCACCTCTCCTCCCGCCTGGATCGTGTGGTGGAACGAAAAGGTTCTTCACAGAGCACTCGGGCAGACTGTGTCAGAAAAATGGCCACTTGGTTCATGGCTTTTCTGGAAGTCAAGAAGCGGGACTCTGCGTTCCCCATTGACAGGTTCCCTCTACACCAAGAGCTTCTACAACAGGAAGGTTATCGTTTCAGGCTTCTCTCCGAAGGGTCAGCTGCAGAGTGCTCTCACCTAGGCTCCAACAGCAGTTGTCCTTGATGGGCCATTTGCAGTGTGGCAGGGAGCTCTCAGAACAATACACACGGGCATTTAATCTTGTAACACTTTGCTGGCGTGTGCTACTTTTCTTCTAAGAAATCGGAAACCCCCCTGGGTGGCGTGGCTCAGTGGACCAAAAGGTTGCTGGTTTGATTCCCGGTCAGGACACATGCCTGGGTTGTGGGCTGGGTCTCCAGTTGGGGGCGTGCAAGAGGCAACCAATTGATGTTTGTCTCCCTCTCCCTCCTTTACCCTCTCTCTAAAAATGAAGAAATAAAATTTTAAAAAATTGGAAGCCTTTCTTTTTCTATTAATAAAGTAAAAATTTATTTTCTGGTAGTCGGTCATCATGTAATTAAAAAACAAAAACAACAAAAACCCTCATATTTTCACTATGCTCCGATGATGAACAAATTGGGTTCTGCCAAACCAAGGGAGACTGGGAATTTCAGATGAAGCGTCCCCTGTATGTGGCGTGGAGAGACCATCCACAGGGGCTGCGGCGTGTTGAGTTTGAGGAGGAACAGCCTGAGGACGGCACTGCAGGGCTTCTGCAGACCCTGGGGTTGGCCCGCTCTTGTCTGCCGGAGCTGCCTCTCTGGAGACCAAGAAACAGGAAACAACAGAGAGACTCCTTCTTTGGGGGTGCTGATGATTACTTACCATAACGTGAGGCATGGTGTCACGGGGTGCAGTCCACCCGATTTTTAGCACAATATTAACTGTCGGCAAACTAAATCACTTCAAGCACAAGGAAGCACATTTCACCTTGACAGTGCCACACAAACATGAAAGTTGGTCATTAGGTGACTTAACCATTTGGGTAGTATTTTCACAAATATTATCTCATTTTGTTCCTGCCAAGTCTCATAACAGATCTCATAGCAAATATTATCAACACTGTTTTAACAATATGAAAAACTGATCAAGCAGTTACTGAATCTAGTCCTTTTATTTCCAAGATTTAAAATAATGTAATTTTTATCACACAACAAATTCAACAATAAATGCGGCCCATGGTGCACTCATGCCATTAAATTTCTTTTTTGCTATAACCAAGTGGAACTGGTCAGAGTATCTCTTGGACCAAAAGCCTAGGGCCATCTTCCTTCTCCCCTCACATCTCACATCTGTCAGCAAATCCTGGCTGCTCTTCAAAATACATCTCCCTCGGGCCAAGGCTCACCCACCAAGGCCACCATGAGGCCACCATCAACTGTCACCTGGATGGCTGCATTCTACTCAGAATTCCGCAGGTCAGGTCTGAGAATGAAAGTTAGGTCACAGTGCCTAACTTCGAACCCTGTCTTTGCTTCTCACTCTGCCAGGTACCTGACTCCTCCCTTCCAGCCACACCTGCCTTACTGTCCCTGTATCACCTCTTTTGTTACAGCCTCAGTCAGGGCTGTTCCACGGTTTAGAACATACTGTCCTCAGGCCTTCAAGTGTTTCCTACTTTGCCTCTTCCAGGGCTCCAACCCCACATGCAGAGGCCTTCCTTGACTCCTTATCCAAGTGGACCTCCTCCCCCCTGCCTCTCAATGCTTCCTACCCTGCTTTGTTATTTTTTTCATAGCTCGTAGGTTCCATCATGGCCTCAGTTTATTATTGACTCGTTTACTCATTGTTTCTTTCCCTCCCTAGCAGGCAGGCTCCTTGGGAGCAGGGGCTTTTCTCACTGTTCAGTCCTGGAATAGCACCAAGAATGTGTTTCAAGGATATTTGCAGAACAAATGTATGAATGGTCTGGACCCTGATGTGAGGTCTTCTCGGCATCCCAGGCTGCCTCTCGGGATGGAGTGTTGATCCCGTCATGCAGAGTAAGAAGAATGGCAGATGCGGACCGAGGACAGTGTCACTCCAACCTCAGGATCCCATTGGCAAGTCCTCCCCACAGGAGCCATGTGCCAGACCTGCAGGAACACAGGCCTTGGAGACAGAACTGGGTGGGAATTCTGGTTGCCACTGGTTTGGGCTTGTAGGCAGATGACTTCACCTCTGGAGTCTCAGTTTTCTCTACTAGAACAAGAACTAAACTGTCTTTGTGTTAAACCATGGGGGTTTGGAGGTCGACCTGGTCATCGCTGTTAATCACACTAATAACCTGAGACATGGGCCTTGTTTCTCCCGTGTGTCTGGAAGCCCTTCCTTTCCCAGGCTTCATTTTCTCATAAGTCCCCTCCCTATCTCCCTACAACCACTCTCAGATTCTCATTTGACTCATCCCAGAACAAGAAGGGGAAAAATTAATTTCTCCTCAACTTAAAATATTATGTATTTTTAAAATTGAATTTATTAGGTGACATCGGTTGTCAGAACCGTTCAGGTTTCAAGTGTATAAGCCAACAAAACATCATCTGCACAGTGCGTCATGCACCCACCACCCCAAGCAAAGTTTCTTCCCATCTCCACTTCCCCCTCCTTTGCCTACCTCCCCCTTTCCCACCCCCTTTCCCTGTCGCCATAACCCACACTGTTGTCTGTGTCTCTGTAATATGTTTTGGGGTTAATCCTTTCACCTCCTTTCATGCAGTCCTCCAAGCCCCCTCCCCTCTGACAACCAGCTATCACTCTATTCCTCATGTGTATGCAGAAGTGTATGCAGGCTTCTGTCATCAGTTTATTTTCCTCATGAGAGTTTGCATAGAAGTGGAATCACATGGTATTTGTCTTTTTCTGACTGGCCTATTTCCTTAGCATAATAATCTCCAAGTCCATCCATGCTGTCGCAAAAGGTAAGATTTCCTTTCTTCCCCCTTTTTTACCACTGAGTAGTATTCCACTGAGTAAATGTACCACAGCTTTTTTATCCACTTATGTACTGATGGGCACTTGGGCTGTTTCCAGATCTCAGCTATTGCAGGATGTAATGCTGCAATGAACTAGGGGTGCATATATTATTTTTAATAAGTGTTTCTAGTTTCTTAGGATATATTCCCAGAAGTGAGACCACTGGGTCAAAAGGCAATTTTGTTTTAATTTTTTGAGGAAACTCTCTACTGTTTTCCAAAGTGGCTGCGCCAGTCTGCATTCCCACCAGCAGTGCATGAGGGTTCCCTTTGCTCCACATCCTCACCAGCACTTGTTTGTTGATTAATTGATGATAACCATTCTCACAGATATGAGGTTATATCTCATTTATCTCGCCGTGGCTTTAATTTGCACTTCTCTGATGGTTAGTGATGGTGAGCATTTTTTCATATGTCTATTGCCCATCTGTATGTCCTCTTTGGAGAAGAGTCTATTCAGTCCCTTTGCCCATTTTTAAATTGTGTTGTTTGTCTTCCCAGTGTTGAGTTGTATAAGTTCTTTATAAATTTTTAAAATTAACCCCTTATCAGATGTATCATTGGCAAATATGTTCTCCCATTCAATGGTTTTTTTTTGCTTTGTCGCTGTTTTCTTTTCCTGTGCAAAAGATTCTGAGTTTGATGTCGTCCCATTTGTTTATTTTTGCCTTTGTTTCCTTTGTCCGAGAAGATATATCAGCAAAAATATTTAAAAATTTACAAACCTACAGAAAACTTGAAAAAAGGTAAGAGTAACACTGGTGTGCTTTTCACTTAAATTCACCAATTATAACAATTTTGACATATTTGTGCATACTCTCTTCTACACACATACACACACGCACACACACACACAATTGCAATCATCTTGATGCTTCACAGCTAAACACTTAATCATCCATCTCCTTAGAATGGACAATCTTTTACATAACCAAAGAGTCAATATTACCCATAAAATTTTAAGCATTAATTAAATATCATCTAATAGTCCATAATCAAATTCCCCCCAAATATGACTTACTTATAGAATTTATTTGGTCTACTACATTTGTTTATGTCACTTAAAAAAAAGATTTTATTTATTTTTAGGGAGAGGACAAGGGAGGGAGAAAGAGAGGGGAACATCAATGTGTGGTTGCCTCTCATGTGCCCCCTACTGGGGACCAGGCCCACAACCCAGGCATGTGTCCTGACTGGGAATTGAATCGGCGACCTTTTGGTTTGCAGGTCGGTGCTCAATCCACTGAGTCACACCAGCCAGGATTTTGTGCCACTTTTAATTTAGAATATTTTCCCTGCCTTTTTCTGTTTTTTCATGACCTAGAAATTTTGAAGAGTCCGGGCCAGATAATTTAAAGAATGTCCCACAGTCTAGCTGTGTCTGATTGTCTCTTCATGGTTAAATTCAGGTTAAACATTTTGGGCCAGAATATTCCACAGGTAATGGTGTACTTCCCACTGCATCCATTAGGAGGCACTGAGTGTCCGTGTGCCTGTACTGGATGATGTGAAATTTGATCACTTCCTGTATGATAGCGTCCACTACATTGTCCCCAGGTAAAACTATAACTTTCGTTCTGTTCTCAGTAAGTAATTTGATATGATAAGTAGGATATTTTGAAACTGTGTGAATAACCTGTTCCCCAAGAGCCTTTCTCTTAATGCGTTTGGCATTCGCTGATGATCCTTTCCTGTGTCAGTTACTATACTGGGAACTGCAAAATGGTGATTTTTCTAAGCCTGCCTTTCCTTGTACATTTATCAGCTGGCAGTCCTCTGTAAAAAAGAGCTTTCTCTTTATCTCTCTTCTTTATTTTTTTTCTCTCTCTTCATAGATATTTTTTAAACTCCAAGGTTTATAATCCATTATTACTCAAACTGAGATTCTTGGACAGGCGGTGTCAGCATGACCTGCAAGCTGCTTGAAAATGTAAATCCTCAAATGCTGTCTCGCACCTATTAATCAGAATACTGTATTTGGGGGTGGGGGAAATTCCTGGAATCTGTGTTGTTACTGACACTATTGTAATTCATTTCTGTCTTTTTTTTTATGCTTAAGCTGCCCCAAAGTTGCCCAGGGGAAGCCCCCTCAGACCAGCTCTGAGTGCAATTGGCATACCCCATTAGTCTTTGAGTGGTTCCTTGTTTGAGAGAATACTGAGTCACCCTGTGCTTTCCCTACTCGGCCGTCTCAGACCTGAAATTAACCATTTCTCCAAGAAACCCCAGTTCTTTCTTTGTGGGATGGTATTTAGAAATCAAATAATGAGGCCAGCTGTGCTCATTGTTGCTGAGATGTCCCTGTTTATGGGCCCATTCAGGAGTAAAAGCTAAGGAATATATATTCAAAGAAATACTGATACTCCCCAATTGAATCCACACCATAAGAGTTTTTCTAATCTCCCCCACTCCTGATTGGTATCCCTCTTCTTCTTCAAAGAACTATGGTTTCAAAAAGCATCAGTACATTGTGGATGACAAAGGAGTTCTACGGAAGGTAACTTAACAGGGCGTGCTGATCATAAACTCCTAAATGGGGAGGTTGAGGTTGGGAAATCATGCCCCAGACGTATAACTTCTCCAGTAAAAGGTTTATCTTTGCCTGAAGCAAGTCCTGTCAATTATTTTTGTGCATCTGACTTAACACACTACTGAATTAAGGGTACCCGCCCTCAAGAAAGCACATACTTTTGTTAATTACCCTATCACCCGGGCCTTGCCTTGCTTTCTCCCACCTTAATGTCATCTTCCTTACCTTTCTTCATTAATTCCAAATGCACAAAAGAAGCTGCAAAACTCAATCTCTGGAGCATTTGAGACTTTGCTTCCTGGCATTGTTGTCAGTGTGGCTCAAATAAAATCTTATAAAAATTCCCTGCGGGTTTGGATGTGTCTTGAGTCAACAATTCTCATAATTATATTAAAGAAGAAACCCTTCTTTGTATGACAAACTGATTTTCACACATCTCTGCTCAAGTTGCATATAAGGTGGTTTTGTGTTTCTAAATTAGGTTGGGTTTTCACTGTAAATAATTTTTCCATTGGAGTTCAATGGACCTACTGTATTTGCCTATTAATGGTGAACATGAGAGAGTGTGGTGACAAGATATCCTCTGTTTACCAAAGGATCGCTCCCATTATCTACACAGTTATCTCTCTGCTCTTGTTTTAATGTAAATGATACATTTATGCTAAAATGTAATCTTCTGTAAAAAAATGCACCGATCCTGATCTGTAAAAATAAACCCGACATACCTAATATACACATATATAAACTTACATAGAAAAAAATAAAACACACCAAAATGTGATGGCTACAATTCCTTATTGCTTTCAGTACTTCCCGAATTCTATATAGTGAGTGTACATTATTTTTATAGTCAGATGAAAACAATATTTTCAAGAGAGCTTTTTAATCTTCATAGTCCACGTAAAACAAGAGTGGACAATGCATAGTCTTAGCGCTGTCATTTCAGCTGCATTGATCTAAAGTAATAAATACTTTTTCAAATCAGAAATATTGCAAAGTATAGACACAGGGGGGCATTGTAACCAAGATTTTATAATTTAAGAAAAATAACTCAGAAACCAAAAAACAAAACAGCTTATATGTATTGAGCACTCTTTAGAGGCCAGTTCTGTTCTAACGATTTCTATGTGTTATCTCATTTAACACTCACATTAACTCTATGGGGTAGTATTTGGTTGGCCCAAAACTTCAGTTTTTCTGTATGATGGCTCTAGTAGTGCTTAGTTGTCTTTAACTTTATGTGAAACAGTTTTGTTAGATTGTATTATGACAGCTGCCATGTCAGTGTGCATTTAAAAGGACTTACCAAAATTAATGAATTTTTTTGTGTAGCCATTTTAATATCGAAGATGGAAAACAAAATGCTACATTTTTTGGCATATCGTGCTTCATTATTTCAAGAAAGGTAAAAACACAACTGAAATGCAAAAAAAAGATTTGTGCAGTGTATGGAGAAGGTGCTGTGACTGATCAAACGTGTCAAAGTGGTTTGCAAAGTTTCACGCTGGAGATTTCTTGCTGGATGATGCTCCATGGTCAGGTAGACCAGCTGAAGTTGATAGCGATCACATTGAGACATTAATTGAAAACAGTCAATGCTATATCACATGCAAGATAGCTGCCATAGTCAAAATATTCTCATTTACTGAGAAGAGAGCTGAGACTCCAAGCCACACAGCCTCCCAAAAATGCAAAAAGCATTTACTGTGGTCTTTGTATGTAATTGGGCTCCTGCAGTCACTTGTTTGGTGAGCTTTCTGTACAGTACCTCTGTGTAAACGTTTAATTCTCTTAATTTTTAAATGATTTCCCTTCGCTGCATTCAGAGTTTAAGAACAGCTATGAGTCAGAGAATAAATATTTAACAAAATGTAGTTTTTCATCAGAAACAGAAAGTTTGAAAAATAGGGATATACAATTCCCTGTTAGAATCTTACTACCTTTTCTTCCAGTCTATTTTTCTTTGATGTGTGTGTGTATTTAATAGATATTTTTCCTGATAATTTAGTAATTTGCTTTTTAAATCTACAACACAAATGCAGAAAAAACACGGCACAGTTAAATTCATATCTTTACCATATTATGAATCTTTCAGATTCATCATTTTTCAGTACTACAGCATTTTAGTGAAGCAGATATTTTAGCTTATTTAATCATTTCTCCACTATTGGCTTTTTAGATTTCAGCCAATTCTTCATGTACTAGTTCAGCAAAAAACATCTGCATGCCTGTATTTTTCCTCCCTCATATTTACCCCTTCATTTAGTGAATATTGGCAGAAAATCTGGTAAATACCAGGCACTATATTAGGTGTTGGGTTTAGGATTTTTTCCACATAAGATAGTAAACTACTTTCTAAAGGGTCAATATCAGGTTATCCTAAACACAGTCTTTAAAAAGAAATAAAAACAATTTAAAAAAAGAAAAAAGAGATGTAAAAACTTTTAGTTATTAGATGACTGATTACTTCACCTGTATGTGGTGAAGACTTCAAAACAAGTAATATTTGTAGATTTCAAATCACTTATGACAGGAAAAATGTAATGTTAGAATTTATAGTAGTATTTGCCTAATTATGACTCAAAATCCAAACATAATAGAAGAAAATAGTGATAGATTTGACTATAAAAATTGTAGCAAACATTAGAAACAAAGTTAAAATACAACTATCAAACCGGCAATGATATTTGCCATGTGTAGTCCGCCTCCTGTATCACAGATTCCACTGGGTGGACTCAGCCACCTGCCAGAAAATATGTGGGAAGAGTTACGTTGTTGCTGATGTTGCTGATGTGTTGCCACTGTTCAACCCAGGCAAAACCACTGCTGAGCTCAGCCCCCCCCCCCAAAGAAATAAGCCATGAATTATAATATAACACACTGAATAAATGAAAACAAAAAATGTAAATCCATATCATGAATATTATTAAAAATATAAGAGTACAAAGTGGAAAGAAAAGATGGATGTGGAAGAACACAAATTTCTTTCATACAGGAAAATGTGGAGGGAATCATAGAATTGGAAAGTCACTATTTTGCAACTGCAAAGTAATCGCTGACCTTGAGTAAACACATTTTATTTGCATAATAACATCACAAAATAATTTCCTGAAATATCTTTTGGCTCTTGTATGATCAAGGATGAACAAACTTTGAAATGAAAAGCCTTAATCAGATAAAAGAAAAGCTAGGGGATCCTTCCTTTTGTATTTTTTCCTTTCTCTCCAAAGCTGAGAATTCACCCTTTACAAGAACAAGATGAGCAAATTCCCAGTTTGCTGACCTGGAATTCTTTTCAACGTTTGTCATGAGACTACAAGGTATGTAGGAACGACCTGCTAAAGGAGGCTTCATCATAAACAAAACTGATTGGAGACAAGTGTCAAATTGTGAGTTAATATTAATAATATATATCATAGGTAGAAGTCTAAGGCCCCTAATATACACATTCTATTGCTTTATATTGTTACTTTTATACTGTTGAAGCAGTGGAGAAAAAGATCCTGTTTTGCCTGTTGAGCCAGATAAGTGTCCCATCTCCAGCCTGAAGCACATATTTTCCGAGGAAAGTAAAGTCTCCTGATGTTTCCTTGATTTCTCTCTAAGACACCAGGCTGGACAGAGTGTAGAAGTGCATAATAATGTTGCTCCAACTCCGGCTCACACGGGTCACACACCCAGTTTGTGACCGGGGGACTGTAACCCACCCCACCATTCTTTTGACATTGTTTCTGTAAACAATAGGTAATTGACTCTACTAGGGAGCTCGTAAATAAACAGCGTGTTTGTGTAAGAATCCTGGGAACTAACTTCTAAAGATACAGACTCTGACCTTCAGTCATCTCAGCTCTGGGAGACTTGCTGACGTGCACACAATGGAGCCAGAAGGACGGAAAGCCAAGATAACCTAAAGCCGAGGCGACTAAACCACGATGACTCACACCGAACCGTCACTTGCCTCATCGGAGTGAACTGTGCTCATCTGCCTGTACAGAACTTTTCAACCTCCTTCCTCGATCTTTGATCTGCTTTCCTTCTCCCTCCTTATCAGAACCTCTGCCTGCACTGAGATGTTAAGATAGGCTTTGCGACAAGGGTCCCCTATCTTAAGATTGTTGGCATCTGAATAAAGTACTTTCTTTCTCACCCGCACTTGTCTCATGAGTTTGGCTTTCATTACGGCAGGCAGCTGGACCTGGGCTCCGTTACAGTTTCACCCTTCAAGGTCTGGTCGGTGCAGTGTATACCTGTCGTTCTGGTATAGATGTTAATAGTACTCCTTTCACTCTCCAACGTGTCTAAGATTGAACCATACATGGTTTTCCTACTTCTAGGACACCCCTGATGCTTTTTAGGGAAGGCTTCATTTGCCTGATGTTGAACGGTAAACACCAAGCTGGAGAGAGGAAAAAGAAAAGACTAGAATGTGGTAGGCAGAAGAATGATTCCCCTAAGATGTCCTTGTTTTAATACCTGGATGTTACCTTACATGGCAAAGGGAAAATGATTAAATGTGTGGAGATGGGAAGATTAGCCTGGATTATCCAGGGGAGCTCATTTTAATTACATGGGTCTTTAAAATTGGAGAAACTTTTCTGGCTGAGTTATTAGTTAGAGGGAGAACTGACTCTGAAAGAATGTTCAGAGAGGTGCCACACCTCTGGCTTTGAAGATGAAATAAAAGGGTCATAAGCCAAGGAATGTGGGCAGCCTCCAGTGGCTCAAAAAAGCAGGGAAACAGATTCTCCTCTAAAGCCTCCAGAAAGGAGTACAGCCCTGCCAACTTCTGCAGAACTGTAGATTTGTATTCTTTTAAGCCATTAATTGTGGAGTTATTTGTTAATAGCAGTAATAGGAAACTAACACATGGAATTGACAGCATGTCTAATGAGCCTTGAAAGATTCAGTAAGTCATCCATTCATTTAACAAAATGCAAGTCCTTATATATCCCTGAGCCCGTGGGCTTCTCAAGGAGTTTACAGCCCTGGAGGAAGACAGTGACTGGAACATGTAACTAGGATTGTTATGAGTGTTCTCAAAGGGCTAGTAGGGGGTGGCAAGAAGTATTTGACAAGCACAGGGTAGTAAACCATGACATATAAACATGGACAAAGGTGTCCCAGGTTGAAGGTATGGCATGGGTGAAGGTTCAGGCAGGGTTTTGAAAGCAGATGGGTTGAGCCTGTAAATAGCCAGAAGTCCAGCTTGGCTGGACCATGAAATAGATGGGAGAAGGGAAGTAGAAGTATCGTTCGGAGGCAAGCAATAAAGGGCCTCGAATGCCAATCCGAGAGTGTGGACTTTATTCTTCAAGCAATGGGAAGATATTGAAAGTTTCAAAGCAGAGATGGGAACATAATCACATCTTTGTTTTACAGCAATACCTCTGCTATAAGATCCACTGGGACAGAAATCACATTTGTTTTGCCGACTTACTGTCGGCGCTTATCAATCAGGAGAGGCTAGTTTATGCTGTGGTAACCAACAATCCCAAGAGTCCGTGCCTCGAGACAAACCAAGTTTCTCTTTCCTGTGCTGCATGTGCATCATGGGTCAGCGGCGGGGACCTGCTCATCCTTTTTTTCTCTCTGCACATAGTACTAATTGTACTAGTACTCATACATTAATTTGAAAATACACAGTACTTCAATGTATTGATTTGAAAGTGCTCAATAGCATAACTATTTTAATGCCAAAGAGAAAAGCTATGTAAATTACCTTTGTGACCATTTAGCAAAATCTTAGTTAAATCTTTGGGAGTTTTCATGGGAATGCACAGAGGTCCATACTGTACATATACTCGTGTTTGAACAAAACATAAGCAATTTCCCCTTAAGCCAGAACATGGAGGTGAGTTCATCAACTGAACCAAGTGCCATGGGAATGGGAGAGCTTAGACCAGAGACTAGTGACTAGTGCCAGCTATCAAGAACCAGTTAGTCTGCTCGCTTTCTTGGCTCCAAAGAGCAGTAAGAAAGCATCAGAACTGCCAAAGCCCTTGCAACAGCTGGAGAGAAGCTGGTAGAAGAGAGGGGTGCTAAGGTTGTCCTTGGACACGAGTAGAGGGCAAAGGATTGTGTATTCTCCAAATGACCTCTGTTGTCACCTTGGCACTCAGCACTTATCAGCAAACTGGTCAGAGAGTTATTCTTGTAAGGATTGGGATTGTTCTGTGTCTAAAAACTGTTGCTTATTTTTAAGAAGATGTGCTCCGCTCCCCCCCCTCCCCACTTTCCATTACTTTTAAGCCACTGAGAGCTGAGAGCCTAAAGCAGAAACCTCTCTTTTCATGGGCAACTGTGAGACTGTTCTACAGGATGCTGGGCGAGGCCCTGGGGGTGAAGGTCAGTGTCATGGCCCCAGGCGCTAGTACCCTCAGCATCCTTAACGGCGTTTTCACATGGGCCACTGCCTGCAGATGTCTGTTGAACACCTTCATGAGAAGTGGACAGCAAAAAGAGAAAGCCAGAGCAAGAGAGTGACATAAGGGACTTCTGCGGAGGACACGTGACACACAAACCTGGGCGTGCTCAGGAAGTCCAGGGAGCACAGCTGGGAGCTTGCTAGTTGGTGGGTGTCGTAATGCAGACATTAATATGAATGGGAGTATTTTTTCTACATGGATGAAGCTAGAATTCCATTTTCTTGTTCATTTGGGCAAATGCCTAGGTAGTTTCTTTTAAATGTGAATGTCATGTCAGGGTTAGGTGCAGAGTTAAATTAAATAGTTTATTTTAAAAATTGACATCATGACAACATTAGCCATGAATATATTGTTAAAAATATTTAACAGTTTAGCTGAGCTATAATCTAAAATAGCTCCCAGAGAAAGAGATAAATGACAAATTATATTGGAAGTTAGGGGGAAAAGGAAGAAAGTGTAAAAGAAAGAAAATCAGGGTAAAATCCAGTGGGTACTTCATATCACCACTAAGGGTCATTGTTAGAAATTGGATGCCCTGCCTGGTTGGGGAGGGGCGCTCTGCTCATAGTCACCAGGGTTGACCCCCACGGAAGCTACTGCCATGTCGTGTTAAAATCAAAAGCAAACCAAAACCAGCTCCCGAGCAGATAAAACCGGTTTAGTCATTAATTTCGCTTAATTACCAGTCACTGCTAAGACACTCCTTTCACTATGCAAACTTCTTACCCCTGAGCCTCATTCCACGTTTTGGCTTGCGTGCTACAGGTTTGCAAACTGTCTTTTTAGTGTGTTCACAATAATTTTCTTTACCAGAAATTCATTGTCTTTACTTGGCTATTTCTGAACCTTTGACTTTGGGAAGTTGCCTGTCTCTGGCGAAGAGCTCTGGAGCGCCGCGCAGTGGCAATTACTTGCTGGGTCTGAAGGTAACCCGACAGACACACTCCTTATCTCACCGATCCAGGCAGGAAGAAGCTTAATGCCACTAGGTGCCAAGAAGGGGTAAAACTGGCAACGTTTGGTGATGCTTAATGATTAAACATCAATAAATATTAATTAGACAAATGAATCAATTCGACGGAGTAAGGTAGAGGTCATTTGATGAAATCTTATCTAGTGGAATTAGAGAACAAGAGAGAAAAGGAGACGGTGACTCATCAGACGAGCGGAGCCGGAGGAGCCGTTTGACTTCTCGATTGTCAGGACGGATGAGTGTAGGAAACGAGCTCACTTTGTGTATTCCCCCTACGTTCTGCCGGTAAAAATGACATCATCATCAACAGCAACAGCAAACGGCAAGGTAGGGTGCCCGTTTGGATGTGTGCCTACGTGTGTGTTAGTGGATGCAGCTGAGACGCCTACATTTTCTCACCTGTTGCTGGATAAACTCTGCAGTCTGGACTGCAGGCCTTTTTGCTCAGTGTGCAAACTTTCTCTTTTGTGCCGAGGCGCTGGGGACCGGCTAGAACTCAGAACTGGTCTCTGTTCTGGGTGCATGGACAGACCCGCCGCAGATGAGTAGGATGTAAGGCGCTTTACACGGATCACGCCACACCATTCCATAAGATATGTTTAATATTCCTTTTATGGTGAAGAGAATTCCTAGACTATCTGGTATGCAGCTCTGCTGTGTAAGCTTGTGCAAATTGCACTGATCTGAAACTTTGGTATTTCCATTCTAAACTGAATACCACCTACAACCGAGTTTTATAAGGATTTGGGGCAGAAGCACCAGAGGTCCGAAGAAGCTCTAAAATAGCGCGCGAACCACGAACTCACTACCCAGACCTCCCTGCCCCCTGCCGGGGCCAAGAACCAAAGAAGCGGTTGGGGGTAGACGATTTAGCTCCATCCCTGTCCCAGCAGAAGATGACGTCACGCTCACCCCTTTCCCAACACCTGGAGCCCGCCGGGAGCCCAAGGCACACTAGACACTGTTCCCGGCTGACGTGAGCACTGATGTCACACCATGTACGCCCTCCCAGGCGTTGGCACCACCCTACCCGGATTCTGAAGCTAGTTTGAGAAGCGGGCATCCAGATATCGGGAGCGGTGGGGCTTGTGTGGAGTCATGTGACATCGGCTAATAGTGACCCATGGTTTTGGTCTCCTTACGGGGATTTATCTGCAGCATGGGGCTACCTCGTCCTGCGGCTGCGCTGAGACCACAAGGGGTTGGGACTGGGTAGGTCCCCAGAGCAATGTAAGTGCTTCCATTCTAGAGGGATAATGGAGGAACATGACCTCTAATTAAAACTGCTTTATTTATATTTTAAGTTGAACTTACTGGGGTGACACTGTTCAACAAAATTACTGGTAGTCAGGTTTAGGGACACCATTCTGCGACATGGTGGGGGCAGTCATCTGCACACTATATTGTGGGTTCGCCACCCCAAGTCAAGTCTCCTTTCATGACCATTTTTTCCTCCTACACCAAACTTCTTTAAAGAGTTGGTTCCACTAATTTTCCAGTCACTCTTCAACCTGTTCCATTTGTACAATATTAATTATTTTTAAAATGTCAAGTCAAAAACATTTTTGTGTGCAAAAATACAAATAAAAATGAGCAGGGGTCAGTGTTTAATTCATTAGTTAACAAGGAACCTGTAAGTCAGACACTGCAAAGAATTCTAAAGACTGCAAAGTTTGTAAGGTATTTTGAAATGAGTTTATGCCTTTCCTTCCCTGACTCCCCCTCCATCCAATGGATC